TGAGGTGACCCTGGCAGTGCCATGAGGGGTGACAGCTGGGGGAAGGCCCCAGGTCCGTCACCCACTCCCCACTCTCGGGAGGCTCCAAAGCAGCTCAGGAGCTGAGGGTGACGCTGCTGTGTCTGCACTGGGATGCTTGCTGGCAGATCCTACCTGCGTCAGCAGCTGAATTCCCTGCTCTCATTCCCGCTCTGGCAGCACCTTAACCCTTTCCTGCCACCCTGAGCTCCTCAGAGCTTGTGCCAGGGTAACTGGGACCCTCCAGCTGTGGCAGCTGGACCTGACCCTGTGCCCACAGACCTGCAGGAGGGTACATGGCATCTTTCAGCCTGGGGAAGCTGCTCCACACTCAGCTCTCCTGCACCCTTTCCGTGGCACCCCTTCCCCAGCATGTCTTGGCTGCACCTCATCCCAGCCAGGGTGGGGCTGCTCCAGGGGCTGGGACCCCCTGTCCCACTGTGCCTGAGCCCTGGGGAGAGCTGGCAGCACCTTCCCAGAGCTCCTGCTGCGCTGGCATCAGCGCAGATTTATCGCCCTGGCACAGAGCCTAAAGGCCAGCTGCTGTTTGGGCTGTTTCCAGGGTTCACCGCTGAAAACTTTTCAGTGCCCACCCTCACCTGCAATGTGTTGGAATTGGGTTCCTGGAGCCAGGACCCAGCTGTCAGAGCTGATTTGGGCCAGGCAACCCTCCTGGTGGGTGCCCTTGCTTCCTGGCATGCAGGCACAAGCCCTGTGTGTCCTCTGCAGAAACCTCTGGAGAGCAGAGAGGACTTTGGCAGATGCCCATCATCCAGCACCTCCCTGGCCACCTCCGCCACTGCCGAGGTGAGTCGAGCCCCGGCCGCAGACAGAAGCAGCTGAACTTGTTTGTGGTTTCTGAAAGACAAATTCAAGCCAAACAAAATCAAAAATCCCAGGAAGAGTCCTTAGGCTGCTCCTTCCCCCGCTGCTGCTTTGCCACACAGAGCAGGACCTTTGGCAGGGCCTGAACTTGCTGAATTTGGAAGGATCTGATGTACTGGGGCTCTGCCGGGGCCACCTCAGCCTCTGTTTTTCTTCCAGGTGCTGTGAAAACCTGTCACAGATTGTGTTTGTGTTTAAATGAGTGAAATGAAGGGCATGCAGAGCCCAGAGTGCCATGCTCGGGCAGGGCTGGGCCAGCCCCACAGCAGGATGTGACCCTGAGCTCCGGCTGGCCCGACCAGTCTGCTTTTATGACCCAAACAGAGCGACCCAGGGATTAATCAGCCAGCCCAGGGGGACAGGCTGTGTGCAGTTTGAAATTCTTTGGTGCTTGTAATAACTCAGGTGAGTCTCTTTGCTCTTGCGAACTGTAATTTTTCATTTGACAGGCAGCGTCGTGCGACAAAACACCCAAACAGCCACATCCAAACACACCCGGCCCCGGAAAGCGGGGCCAATCCCCCCCACCTGCCCGTGCTCCGCTCACAGGTGCTGATTTTCCCAGTGCAGCGAATTCCAGGGGTGGTTTGGCTGGACATCACTGCCACCTGCGTGGTCAGTGCTCAGTGCCAAGGTCAAACGAAGCCGATCCATCGATCCGCTCCCGTTCCCCCACCTGTGGGACAGCTCTGTGCCCCCTCCCAGCCTGGGGGTGGAGTGGGGCAGTTCTCTCCTCTCACCCCATGCCCAACAGCAGCCCAGGTATCACAGGACCATCTGGAGGTGTGGGGCTGTGCAGTGCTCCGCTCCACTCCCGGCGTTCCAGCTGCAGCCCATCGGGTTCCCGCTGGGATTACGGAGCAGAGCGTTACCACAGGAGCGAGGACTCGGTTTTCTTTTCTCCCTGCTCCCCTTCCCCTCAGCAGCGGGAGGCAGGAGGATGTGTCAGCTCGAGGCTGAGGCTAAAGAGGCTTACGCTGACTATTTACCTTCGCAAGGGTCTATTTTTGGCTGCTCAGCTGCCGCTAATGCAACGCTCAGGGCAGCGACCGAGGAGACGCCACGTGAGGGTCACTGTTCGTAGGATCCACTTTCCTCCTCTGTAGGGACCAAGCCCAGCTGCTTTTTTGTTCTTTGGGGTTTTTTTTCAGATGGCAAAGAGAGTGTTACAAAGGAAAATCTTGGGGGTAGGTCAGAAGGACCTTGGAAATCCACTGTCCTTTCACTGCAGAGGAATCCCACAGCTGCTCCTGACCCTACCCCAGGTGCTGCCAGGGAGTTCCAGGTTGGCTCCACAGACCCCTGTCTCCCAAACAAGCTCAGGAGGTTGTGAATCTCCAATGAGAGTTAAATGGCATCACGAGCTAATGAAGAGGCTGGAATGGGGTCACCAGGATGTGAGCACTGCTGGTCACTGGGAGCAACTGGGGACCTTTGTTTCCCTGACTATGGCAAAGTGGGGGCAGTGTGTGCCAGGGGCTCGGGGGGCTCCGATGGGAAGCACAGACCTGAAGTCTCCTGCTGGCAGCAGAACCCTCAGGGAACAGCAGGCACAGGAGAGCTGGCTGAGGTTGGCACACCAGTCCTGGCCACTCCCAGAGCTGAGCCCCTCTTCCAACAGAACCCAGCTTATCCCACGTGCTGGAAAACTGCAGTGCAGAGTCTTTAACTAAACGAATCCTGAGTGATTCCCACATTGCTGAATGACATTTTAATAGTGGAAAAATAATGCTCCAAATTATCTACTTCATCTCTTCCTATTGTCTTTTACTGGCTGGGAACGAGTGCTGCAGCAAACACAGCTCCGGCTCTTCTGGGAGGGGTTTGCTGGTGCCTCCCAGCCCTCTGTGGGCAGTGGGGAGCTCAGAAGGGGGCTGTGTCTCCCCGTGCCCAGCACCCCTCGAGCTGAGGAGGGGGCTGTTCTCCCCCTGTGCCCAGCAGGCCATGCCTGGCAGAGCTGGAGGCTGCGGCTGCCCCGGCTCCGCGGACGAGCAGCGGTGCTGCGAAGGCCTCGTGGCCATGCCCGTCCCACAGGAGCAGGCAGGTGGCAGTGGGTGGTGCCCGGCTCCTGCTGTCCCCACGGGGAGCTGGCGCCTGCCCCGGTGCCACCAAGCTGCTCTGCAGGAAGATGCTTCTGGCGCTTTCTGCCGTGCAGTTCTCCTGACCCAAATTCAGCCACTGCCACGTCGAGCTTCCATCTGGATGGATCCATCCAGTGCTGCCGCACGTCCTCAGGCTGACACGAGCGGGGCCTGGGGACAGCAACGCAGCCCCAGCACCCAACACGTCTCTGAGTGGCTCCAAACTGAGCAACTCAAGCTGGGGACGGTGTCTGGCCGAGTGCTGCCCTGCCCGTGAGCTGCAGCTCCCAGCCTGCACAGCAACGGACACACAGAGGCCTCACACACACTTTTATTATTCACTGAAACATCATAAATCTCGACTCCCTGCCCCAGAGCAACGAGCCTCAGCCCTTACAGGAGGTGCCACCTGCCAAACCCCACTGTAGCCTCGGTGCCTCTCACACCGGCTCTCTCAGAGCTGTGCCATCCTGCAGTGGGTTTCCCCACTGCTCTCATCCAGGGGAAGGTTTTCATCCTCTGAATTAAAGGCACACAAAGTGGGAGCCAAACTGTCCTTCAGCCACACCACAGCCAGCCCTCGGTGTGGTGCCTGCAGCGGGGCAAGGCTTCTTCCCTTAGGAACGCAGCGAGCCCTCGGCTTGTGCTGGCCTCACACAGAGCATCCCAGCTCCAGCCTCACCTCCCAGCAGCTACAGGGCACGTGGGCTCCAGGACAGGCTGTGGGTAAGGCCTTGCAAGGGATTTTGAGAGAAATGTGCTTGTCAGGTGCAGGAACCCCCAGCACTGCACGAGGACAAGGGGGTTCCACAAGTGCTACTGAGGGAACAAACGTGCCTGAGAGGCAGAGCTGGAAGTGAGCATGGCCTCAGCCAGCCTGCCCAGGACAGCTGTGTGGGAAGCAGTGAGGAGCAAGTGAGACAGAGCAGGACAGCCAGGAAAGGCTGCAGACCCCCCTGTGTCACTGTCACCTCATCTCCTTTTCCATTCTTACAGGGAAACTGTTCCTCTGGCTCTGTTTGGCACAAACACTGGCTCAGGACACACCTTTGGAGGCCACTGAATTTGGTAAGGACCTTTGGCAACAGGGCTCAAAGCCCCAGCTCCACTTCTGGTTGTAAAATTTTATAGCAGACAAGAGAAGAAACACGCTGTCCTTTCAAAAATACCCCAAGGGAAACCTTTATCAGATAGAGCTCAGCAAAAATGGCTGCAACGAGGCAAGTTTCATTTTCACTTTGGGATGGGGAACAGGGTGCACCACTGGCACCAACTGAAGAGCCTAAAGCCCACAAGGAGTGTATGTGCCACAGCCTGTGGCAGTGATAGGCAAGGACAGTAAATATTCAGTAATTGAGGAGAGCCAAAGGAAACACAATGGGAAACCTACTGGAAACAACAGACTAAAGTGTCTGAAGTCTGTAGTTGTCAGCATAAAGAAACAGCTTTGCTGTAATGTCATGGAATCAGAGAATCATAGAATGGTTTGGTTTGGAAAAAAACCTTAAAGCTCATCCAGTTCCATCCCCTGCCCTGGGCAGGGACACCTTCCACCAGCCCAGGTTGCTCCAAGCCCCGTCCAACCTGGCCTTGGACACTTCCAGGGATGGGGCAGCTTCTCTGGGCAACCTGTGCCAGGGCCTGCCCACCCTCCCAGTCAGGAATTTCTACCCAATACCTCGTGAAGAAGAAACTTTGGACAGTGTCTGTGAAATACCCCAACTCAGAGCAGCAGTGCTGTGAGACCTGGGGCTGTACACTTTCTGTACAAACGGAAAAAAAAAATCAGCCAGCCAGTATATCCTATAAAAAAAGCCAGAGACAAGATCTTGAGGTGACCAGTCCTTCCTCGCCGACAAAGCAGACACCTTCCCTGCCATCCCAGTGGTCTGCAGTTTTATTTTTGGCAGATTATAATTAAAATGGTCTTTATGGCTTTAGAGAGAAGCCACGTTTTGCACGTTTTGGTTGAAGCGGAGAGCGCGTGGTGAGCTCTGGGTGAAGGGCAGAGCCTCGTCCAGCTCCTGCCCCGCTCCTGCCCGGCCCCACCAGCACTGCCAGCTGCACTTGGCTCTCTTGAGTGTTCTCGTTTCTCATTAGCAAATAAGAAAGTTCTGGTTGATAACCAGTCCAGTCCCAGAGGCAGAATAAAAAGTCCTCGTTAAGACCTAGAAAAGCTCGTTTCTAACAAAACCAAACGCAAACACGTGTCAGCACAGTTCCTGGGTCGATGCCTTTTGCTCAAGTTCCACCATCCATGCACTGGAACTTGCTTCCCTTATAGAGTGATTTAATTCCTCTTCCATTTCCCACCTTCCAGTCTTCTCAGGAATCTTGACAAGCTATTCCTCCATTTTTGCCTTCAACATTTTTTCCTATGCACATCCTTCCTGCCCTTCCCTTCCGCCGTCACACCCTGTTCCTCTCAGCTATTTTCGGAAGGCAAAGACATCCCGTGTTTTCAGGCCTTTCTTGCCTTCACTTCCCGGTCTAGGAGAAGACACTTCCACCAGCCCCCCGTACGGGCAGCTCTCGGATTCGGGGTGATGGCCGGAGCACTCCACGGCGGGGATGAAGCCGCTGTCCCACATCCCTGTCCCACACAGCTTGCAGAGGTCGTGCAGGCTGCAGGGGATGCGGGGCAGCAGGTGGAACTGATAGAGCAGACTCCTGGCCTAGAGGGGAGGGAGAGAGGGAAAACATTCACTCCTCACTGGGGGATGAACACGGGGAGCTGAGGTGGCCCATGGCTTCCTCTCCCATCCTCGTGTTTGGCTACCTGAGCTGCAGCAAAGGTGTGTCCCTCTAACACAGGGCTGAGGGGTAACTGGGACAGGGGGAAGTCACAGGGGCTGTCACACACCACAGCTCATCCCACAGCCCCTGTCACTCCTGCTGAGAGGGAATGGGGACCATGGCACCAACAGCTCTGTCTGCCCTTTCCCTGAGCATGGGCACGGGTTATCCCAGCCAAGGGTTATCCCAGCCAAGGGTTATCCCAGCCAAGGGTTATCCCAACCATACTGTTGGCATATCTATCCCATCCCATCCAGGCAAAGAGCAGCATCCCACCCTCCTGGGCTCCAGCCAGGCACAGGGATACAGGCAATGAGAAGCTGAAGCATCAGTCCTGGTTTCCTCAACCCTCTGACTCATCTCTGGACCCGAGACTCAGCACCTGGGTATTTACCTTCCTGAGTACGAGCTCCCCATTCATGTGCATGGCCAGGTTGCTGAAATGCAGCAGCATCTGGTCAGTGGCCAGCTGTTGTTCAATGACATCATCCCCGTAAATCACCACGATGGCCACGCAGATGAAGAGGTGGAAATAGTCCGTCTGCAATGAGAGCACAGGGGCTGCTGTACAGCAGGTGGAGGCAGAGCTCTGGCTTCACCTCCCACCCTCCACAAGTGGGTCCTTGATGAGAATTTTTGCTGAACCAAAGCCTCTTCTCCTCACAGCATGGCAGCAAAGTTTGCACCACAGCGTTCAGACCAGACCAGTGATTTTTGGGAAGACGTTTCCCAGCTGTGTAAGAGAAGCTTGAATATCAAAAGTGAGTGTTCAGTACTTCCTGAAACACCTCCTTTTGAAACAGGACATCCCCAAGGAGGAGAGGCAGGCAGGGCTCCATCCTCCTGCTACACAGATACAGTTCTTCTATAGTTACAGACCCTCTGTAACACTGATTTATTGTGGCTACTTTGCCACTAAGAGCCCCTCTGGAAATCCTGCAGTGCCTGCTGAGGGTGAGGACTCAGCCCTGCCCGTGCCAGCGGCCTCACCTGGTAGTGAGCCCAGCAGGCCTCCCACATGCGCAGGGCCTCGGCCTCTGGGAACTCCCGTTTGAAACACAGGAGGATCCAGCGGTGACAGAAGAGCATCTGCAGGCCATCCTCCCCCAGGGCAGACAGGTGCTGGTGGAAGCGGGGGTGCATGAGCCGCAGCAGCTCGCGCAGGTACATCTGGAAAAGACGCTCTGAGCTGAGGCCCTGCCTCGGGCACAGGGACTCGTACCACCCTCCCCAGTCCTAGAATATGGTGTGTTGGATGTGACCCACAAGGATCATCTAAGTCCAACTCCTGTTCCTGCACAGGACAACCCCAAGGATCAGCCCAAGGATTTTGTGGCTTTGGGATGTGACTTGGCATACTGGAATGCAGGGAACTGCTTTCTGTGACTGGGGAGAAGAGAAGGCATTGACAGAGAGCAGGATCCCAGCATTCAGCCTCACCAGCTGCTTCTCCATGTCCTCATCCCGGGGGGAGCTGATGAAGATCGTGTTCTGCATCAATCCCACAAAGCACCAGAAAGTATCCGACTCATCCAGGATCTCTGCCAGGAGTGGAGCAACCAGGTCAGACATGCCCTGGGAGTATCCAATGGCTGGGTTAAATACTGCATAGTTCAGCAAGATCCTCCTGGAGCAGAGACACAAACAGGGAGGAGGGACAGGTGAGGGCAGGTGACAGCTGAGCACAGCCCCATCCCTTCAGCCCAACCCTCACCACACAGGCTGAGCCAGGATCAGGACAGGAGACTCACAGATCCTCTATCTAAAACATTAACTTTTGAACACCTTCTGTTGCATCCCACTATCCCTAAAAGAACTGCATCTGGAGGCACAACAGATACACTAACACTGTCTGTAAGTGTGACTCTCACTTTTTACAAGTCCCACCCCTGGAGCAGACTCCAGTGTGCTCATCCTCCATCCCATCAGGAGAACCACAGACCCAGGCACCTGCACACAGCCTGCACAGCACCCCTGTGCGTGCAGGGAAGGTTGGGGATGGGAGCAGGGTTATTAGATCCAGAAGAAAATGGCTGTGGAAGCACTGGGAGCACTGGGAAGGCCTTGTTGTTGCATCCCTTGATTCCATCACCAGCTGCACAGCGGGTGCTGCTCAGCATTCCCAGGCAGCCTAGGGCTGGCTGACAGAGCTGTGAGTACGCTCAGCAGCACCAGGCAGGGACACTCAGACACTTCACCTCATCGTCTCCACGTTGGGGTTGTCCTCCCCTCGGAAGAACTGGTTGCTGCGGTCAGTCCTCACCACGTCCTTGTCCACCGTGAACTGCACTTGACGCCAGAAATCCTTCTGTTCATCCGGAGTCATGGACAGCCTGGAAATGGAGCAGCAACAGGAGACCATGGCCAAGAGAGGAAGATAGTTGCCACAATGAACAAAAAGCCTCATGTCAGTCAGTTGTATTTATAAAGAAATGTATGCTCCCAATTTCTCCTTCAGTGTTCTAACTCAAGCCTTGTCTGTGAAATGTTTCCCTGCGTGGTACTGACGAGCCTGTTTCAGAAACCCGAGTGAGCTCTATGGTTCAAATTATTATTATCAAGTTATTATTAGTTCCAGAGCCTCAGGAGGTCAGCAGAGCCCAATACACCTCCTTCACCATCCCTCTCACTTCTTTACTCCAGCTTCTCCTGATGCAAAGGGGGCAGAGACTCTGCACCATCACCAGCAGTGTCACTGTGATGTCCAGCCAGCGAAGATGAGCAGGGGAGGATGATGATGGTCTGCTACCTTTTCTCCTGGATCTCAAAGTATTCCTTCCTCTTCTGCAGCCTCAGTGCCTCCCTCTCTTCAGAAGTGGACTCGTAGCTGTAGTAGTGCAGCAGAAAGGGCCACACCTCCCCACGGATGGAAATATCAATCCCACCAAAGAAAATGGCCTGGAACAAGGAGCAAAAGTTATGGCTGGTACAGTTTTAACATTCCCAAATACAGCAACAAGGAACTGCCCGCTGCTGTGCTTTGGTGCCTCTGCAGTTCTTTCCTGACAAGTGACGCCTTGATTCAAGCTCCTGCAATTTGCACATGTTTAGAGGGAAAGTGCTGGCCCTCTATTCCCAGACCAGACACAAATCGGGCTCATTTCAATGTCAATAACCACCCCCGGAGAGGCTCTATGATTAACGTGTCGTTCTCATGTCACGGCTTAATCCCCAGTCCTGGAGACACTGCACTGCACTGCAAACTTCCCTCTCAGAGCCCAGCCCAGTGCTCCCCCTGGCCCAGTGCTCCCCCTGCGTTATTTCATACAGCAATCCCAGTTCCTGCAGCAATCCCAGTTCCTGCAGCAACCCCAGTTCCTGCAGCAATCCCAGTTCCTGCAGCAATCCCAGTTCCTGCAGCAACCCCAGTTCCTGCAGCAATCCCAGTTCCTGCAGCAATCCCAGTTCACTCTGTGATTTGGTCACACATTCTGCAAACACTGTGGGCACTGGGCACTTTGGTTTATTGATTCCAAACAGCAGCAGAAGTGGGACAGCTCATCCCTGGTCATGGATGGGAGATACTCCACCATCACAGAAACACAGAACAACTGGGGTTGGAAAGGACCTCTGCAGACCACCCAGTCTAACCCTCCTGCCAAGGCAGGGTCACCTGGAGCAGGTGACACAGGAACATGTCCAGGTGGGAATCTGATGGAATCTGCTCCAATCCCACAAGATCTCCAGCCAAGGCTTCCTACACCAGTCTCCACACTCCCAGTTCTTGCCCCCGGCCTGAAAGCAAACTCCTGCAGCTTCCCCCTGGGGACTTGCACTCTGCAGCAGGAGAGAACAGATGAAAACCTCTCACCTTCTGCAGCTTGTACTCCTCTTCCACCTGTCCAGATTCATTCAGGTGATGGAGCCAGGCAGACACGTCGAGGCGCCGGTACGTGTTCTCCTCCGGGTGGGTTTCCGAGGAGGGCAGCTTGGGACGGCGGATGGAGAACTGCATGCAGGTTTTCTCATCAGCAAGCTGCTGAACAGGGGAACACAAACCAAAACTGGAGGCAGGAGCCAGAGAGAGCAGCAGAGTGCGAAACCCAGAGCAGGGAAACCTCTTTGCATGGTTCATGTAGGATTAAGCACTGAGGAGCTGCGCTTGGGGAGGTTTGGGCTTTTTTTTTTAAATTCCTACCATTACAATAACAAGAGTGATTAGAATAATTAAAAAATCTGAGCACCACAGAACAGCTCCATCTTAAAAAAAAAATAGTTTCCATTCCTCCTCCCATCTTATCCCTGACCTGAAACTGAATTAATGCTGCTTACAGCAAAACTTCCCCCTGCCAGGAATGCTTGCAATAAATTACATATGATTGGCCATATACAAAGGGATTGCTGTTAGGCGAGCGGGGAACGGCGCTGCCAGGCTCTCTGAGGGCACTCATGATCCCAGTGCAAGACTGCAGCTGACATTTAATTTAAAAATCAAAGGTTGCTCAATGCAAAAAGTGAGCCCATGCGACCATAATAAGAAAAGCAGCGGGGGGCTCTGTGGGAAGGATGGAAATTTAAAAATCACTGTTTCTAATAAGCACATACAATATCTTAAACGGATAATTAAAGAGCTCTTATCACATTTGTATGTAGATTGAACAAAATATGGCAAGATGCCTTGTCAAAACACTCTCCAAAGCGGTGAGCTGCGCGTCATAAGATGGATGAAAGGCTCTGACAGAATTTCTGACCTACCACTGCAGATTCCCAGCACCTTCCACGCCTAAAGGGCAGTGCTGACCTGTCAGGTCTAGCAAAATCACTACCTAAGCAAGTCTTCTGGATGATCTTACCCCATATTCCACAGGTGGAACAGCAATGGATGGGGACAAGCAAGTCCAAGAGAGACTTCGTGTCCGACTCACGTTCCATCCTAAACACCCAACACATCACAGCCTTCTGCACGACTTGGCAACGTGAACTTAAAGCTTCATTTCTCCAAAACACAAACCCAAGTGTGAAACATCTGCTGGGAACCCCTTCTCTGCCCCAAGAACCCCACTCAGGTACCTGGTCCTTGAGATGGGTCTCTGTGCAGTACTTCCACTGCTGAAACACCTCGGACAGTTTATCCAGGCCACCGTGGTGAAAATGGAAGATCTTGTACTGGCTCTCCCTGCTTGCAACCACCAGCTGTCCACAGGTGCACGCCTCATCACTGCAGGGAACAACAGGAGAACAACCTGCACGGACTGCCCAGGACAAGGAGGGGCCAGCAGGAATGGGGACCCTCGGGTGAGAGACAGTGCAAAGCAAATCATAACGTGCAGCACCAATCTGCCCCTTAAAACGGGGCACAGAAACAGTTTTACAGCTCTAGGACTCGGTAATCCTTATGGGTCCCTTCCAGTTGAGATATTTTATGATTGTTTGACATGGCCATAGCGACCATTTTCCCCAAGAAGCTCTGCTAGTCCCTGGTAATGGCACTATTTTTACCCTTCCTTCACATGAAGGAATTAAAATTTGTCTTGCCTGGAGACAAATACACAAGAAGTCTGCCCCAGAAACATTAAGGCAGTACACAAACTCAGCTCCTAGGGATGTGCAGACTTGCTCTCACACAGCTTTGTCCAAAGAAACAGGGAGTGAGAGCAAAAAGAGGGAGTAAAAATGTTTTTGTAATAGTTTGAAATAAATTTAGTAATAATCTGAAACATCACTGAAGAGACTGAAAGCAGCAAGACACTAGGGGAGCCTGGTGAGGGGCAGGAAAAGGAAAAGGTACCACAGGTAAAGATTTTTTTCACACCTGCAGGTTATTTAAAGCATTTTTGGTAAGACAGTTAAGAGCAACCTTTAGGAAAACCTATTAGGAAAAAAAATCCTTTTGACCCCATAACTGTAATTCAGAGTCTCTCCCTGGGAAGGCTGAGATGTGCTCTCCTGGAGACAACCATTCTGGAAAGGCTTCCAAGGAGGATTGCAGAAGCCATCTGCCCCCAGAATCCCCAGAGCCCCGAGCCAGAGCACACACAGCTCACACACAACCATCCAGTACCTGAAGAAGAGACGAAGGGATCTCATTTGTCCCAGGTCCACTCTGAAGACACCACAGACCTGCTCGAGGGCAAATACCTTCTGCTGTTCATCCCATCTGGTGCTCTGTGTCTGCCCATTGTTCTCCTGGAACTGGGCACTGGTGTCGAGGCTGGAGGCAGAGCTGGTGGAGCAGGTCATGCGATTGTCACACGTGTCCCTGTGGACAGAGCAGCGCGTCAGCCACGGGAGGCTGCAGGTACGTGCAACCACCACATTCAAAACCTTCAGGCAGAGCTCTGAGATGGGGATTCAGTGCAGGCCCAAGGAGCCAATAACCGACAGCCCATGTGAGAGATTAAGTTATTTTTATTTAAATTGATTCTCTACCATCACAAAAAAACATCCTGATTTTGGTCTGTTCCAAACTGCACACAGAACTTGGGCAGAGCCAAACTCACTCCTCAAGACACTTCTGAGAAGGCAGAATTAAGAAGCTCAAGTAATGCCCTCAGCTCAGCTGCTCCTCACTGGGATGGGGACAGGAGGTGTGAGTACATTCTGACGGCAGCATGGACCTGGGATCTCATCTGGGAAGTTCCCTCCATGACCAGTAGGATCCAAAGATGTTTTCCCTGAACTCCAGTTTCTCATTATGCCTTTGCAAGTGGACCTGCCAAGCCTGGATTCGTGTCTATAAATTCCAAATGGTTTCCACTTGCAGCCTTGAAACTTGGGGGAGTTAATGATGGGAAATCACACCCGAGCTCTTCAACGCACCACAAGGAGAGTAAATCAACCCAACCCTTTCCCAATCCACCCCAGACCTCCAGCTTTAAATCAGACTAAGCTCAGACTCAAAAAACCCACATGCCCCCACCAGCCCTGATCCCAAAAGAAAAATACCAGTGCTTTGGGAATGAAGTGAATGTGAAACTGTGAGCCCTCAGCTCGTAAAAAGGCCAATGCACGTGAACAATCTCTGCGGGCTCTGAATGGGCTCCGCTGTGAAATCAGGGCTTGCCAGACAAGGCCAGGAGCAGGTACAAAGCAGCCCCCTGCAAGGCCACTTTATGCCATGTTTTCTAATCCGCTTATGCAACAATGTGGGCACTGAGGGCTGGGAATCACACACTCAGCACGCTCTCCACACCAGTGTGCGGCTCCAGGGCCTCTTCCGCAGGGACCAGCCCTGGCAGGGACCAGCCCTGGCAGGGACCAGCCCTGTGTGCCACGTCTGCCCACGGCTCAGGTCGCTGCATTCCAGTGCACGGGGCTCTGCACAACCCAGTTCGTTGTGGGTTAAATTTTTAACCGAGGCCCTTTGAGCCACCCCATTCCAATGTGTAACTCAAACACTCTGGGAGCAGATCCCTGAGCCCCTTCCTGCTCCTGCAGCACCCTCTGCATGAAACCAAGGCTGGTTGACTCCAGCTAAAGGAGTGACTTCGCTGCTCTGGGCACCAAGTTCTGACGCTCCAGTTTTTGGAGAGAAAGCAGCAAAGCAGAACTTACATTCAGGCCATTTGGAGGATGAGGATTTAGAAGTGATGTGGCAACAGGGATCACACTACACACCCAAACTCACTCAGAGAGCATCCACAGCAGGTTTTCCAGGTTAGACACCAGGATACCTCCAGTCTCAGGCACAGTTATGCACCTGCCTTGGAAATTTTTCCATGAAGATTGTACTGTCCTTTGTGAAAAATCAAGCATTACTTTTGGATAAACGGTCAAAATGTAACACTTTCTAAACCATTCAGCATCTCATGTTAATGAGATGTAACTGGAGTCCTGGTACAAGACACTTGGGCTGGACTGCCTGCTAGAAGCAGCTGGTATTTATGGAGCAACACTTCATAACAGCCACAGCTGGTTACACAGGATTTTCCTGGAAGAGATGACTCAAACTAACTCAAAGACTAAGAAAAGGCAACCCATTTTATAAAACTCTTGCAAAGACGAGCTGGTCAGCATGGCAAAAGGCTGGAGGATGGGTTGGTGGGAGGATCCTTGGCCTGTGGGTCCTTGCCATGGAGATCAATGTGCTCATTCTTCACGAGCATCATCTCAAACCAACAGCAGCAGAGAACTGCCAAGGAACGAGTTACAAGTAGAGCTGAGCAGGCTTGCTTTGATCCCAGGAATTCTGCAGCTCCTCAGTACAGAACACCACTGCCCACTGCAATTCCTTCTGCCACATAACCCAGACCTCAGGGGCACCAGCAGTAACCTGGGACCTGAGGGGCTGCAGAGCCCGGGCACGGCGGTGCTGGCACTGCTGTGTTTTCAGGAAATGCTTCTGAAGACAAATGTTTACAGTTCACATTCACTGGTGACAAGCTCGCACACGCACCCCACAGACACAGAACCAGCTCATGTGAGTGGATTTACCCTCTCCAGACAGAAAAAGGCACCGAGGGTAAGTAGGGTGCCTCAGTGTGTGCAGCCCAGGGAAATTCCGATGTTTTCGTTGATGTAGAGGGCGAAATCTGAAAGAGACACCTGTGCCCCCTGCCCTTCACAGGGGTTGATGAACATGAGCATTCATACGCATGACAGATGCAGAGATAGAACCACCTTGTTCACTGGTGCTTACCGAGTCAACCGGGAAACTTGGAAAAAACCCTCACTGTGTTTAAAATTACTTTTTTCCTATATGTATTGATCAAAAAAAAAAAAAAAGAAAATAACCCACTGGACTACTTTCAAAAATAATTTTAATATCGAGATCATTCTGGATGTCAGTAACAACAAGCATCATGAAGCTAATTTTGTGGATTCTGGGGAGTCCTCTACCCTGGCACTCAAGATATACAGATGCAGGGGTAGAGTTTATTATCTGTCGGTCTGTTCTATCTGTTGGATGAGGAAATTATCCCAGAGTGCCATGCAAAAGCAGGGAGCTGAAGCATTGCAAGGCAAATAGCCGGAGGAACATTCCAGAGAGACTTTGGGTTGAGGGATCCAGGAAAAACAGAGTGCCAGCTAATATACAGCACTGCTCACAAAACAACAAGTGCACTGGGCCATGGGAATAAAAGGGACAGGGAGAAAAACCAAGGAGGATGAGTAAAACCTGAGGCAGGAAACCAATGGACATAGTTACGTGGCCCTCATATTTTTGGGCCCTCCTGACAAGGACATTAGGGGGCTGGAGTGTGTCCAGGGAAGGGAATGGAGCTGGGGAAGGGTCTGGAGCACCAGGAGCAGCTGAGGGAGCTGGGGGGGCTCAGCCTGGAGAAAAGGAGGCTCAGGGGGGACCTTCTGGCTCTGCAATCCCTGACAAGAGGGGGGAGCCGGGGGGGGTCGGGCTCTGCTCCCAGGGAACAGGGACAGGAGGAGAGGACATGGCCTTAAGTTGCACCAGTGGAGATTCAGGTTGGATACTGAGGAGAATTTCTACATCAAAAGGGCTGCCCAGCCCCGGCACAGACTGCCCAGGGCAGTGTTGGAGTCCCCATCCCTGGAGGGACTTAAAAGCTATGTGGATGCTGCACTTGGGGACATGGGTTAGTGGTGGCCTTGGCATTGCTGGGGAAGGGTTGGACACGGTGATCTTAGAGGGCTTTTCCAACACAAACAATTCTGGGATTGCACTTGAGCCTTTTCCCTTCACCATTACTCTTGTCTCAAAACACATCCCATTCTTGCTGGGGAGCAAGACCAGGTGCTGATGTATTTTCTCCTCTCAACAGTCAAGTACAGCAGCCAACCATACCTATGCTCCTCGAGCCGCTGTAGCCCTCAAGGAGCCACTGTCCCACTCCCACCACGTGGGACCTGCCGCACGCCCGACCGAGGAGCTCCGACACTGCAAGGGACGTGAGCGATGGGACCCAACCTGCTGCTGAGTTAATGCCCTGGGACACACCCACAGCACAAAGAGAGCTAAACCCACTTATTATTTCTGTTCCTGAGCCGGGCCAGAGACCTGCCCTGATTACCTGGGAAGCCGATTTCAGCAACAAAGATCTAATAACTCATTTTACAACGTGATGTGACAAATGTAATTATAAGAGAGAAAGGGGCTGAAGGTTACAGCCATGACGTGGCAGTCACCCGAGCTGTCAGCGTGCACCACCTGATTCCCAGAGAGCCTCCTGCAAGAGCCAAACCCTCCTCACAGAGCTGGCTCTCCATCACCATTGTGCTAACCTACGCTGTCACTAATAACAGCTCTCCCACAGCCCCAGCATTCCTGGCTTGGGAAGCATCATTTGCAGACAATGAGTATCATCATAATGTATGAGCATCCATGTAATGGGAATTACATGCCCCTTTTCCTCCCCAGGGGTTAGTATTTCTCCATTTCTCCGCTATTCCCCACAGGCACTGACCTTCTGGGCTCCTCTTCTTCCCAGCAAGGTGAAACAGCTCCTGACAGCATCAGCTGCTCAGACAGACAGCTTCAAACAAATAATCCGTCAATAAAAGTTCAAAGCTATCCTGAAATGCCTAAAAATTTAGTGCAGTGGCTGTATAGAGTGAGGCAATATTGGGCAGCTGGAACCCAAATCCATTGTTCTGATACAAAAATTGCCCCTGATGATATACATATATTATGAACTGTGAAACCTGCTGACTTCAGTGACATAAAAGACACGCAAAGGAAACCAGATTGGTTACTTAGTATTAAAAAAAAAGGTGTCAAAATGTTTCTGCTCACTCTGTGTAACCTTGCAGAGCAGGGCTGGAAGGACACTTGTGGGACAGCACCAGCTTCCCACAGAGTGTGGCCACACAGAGCCAGCCACAGACACTCACCTGAATCAGCACAGATGAGTAAGTAGGTTGAGAACTGTATTAAATTCAGACTTTGGCTGAAAATATTTGGAACTTGAAGTTTCCGTGCCTCAGAGAGCTAGAACAGAATCGATTTCCACTGACCACAGTGACTAGGGAACAAGGTGTTGGATAGTCTGGATGAAAGCCTATCCAGGATTTCTGAAATTAGACGTCAAAACATTCACATGTGGAAGCATTTTTATATGTCCACAAACACAGGGGAAACAAATCTAACAACTCTTCCTATTTGTTGGCGAAACCTGGGAGAAACTTCTCAGGCCGTTACGGTACAAAGTACACGGATGTCAGCGTGGACTTTCCAAAAGCTTGTTCCACAGGCTTTCCATTGATCTGTTTGCTTTCAAAACATAAATTTCCTCACGTTGAACTGCACTAAATGCTATTTAGTAGCTAATTAACTTTCTGTGCTGA